ACTCAGTAAGAAAAGCAAAAATGAGAAGGATGGATAGCATCTGTGGAGCTTATAATCTAATAAGAAAGTTTATCCACATACACATGTAAATATGACTACACAAAGCAGAGAACAGAAGTACCTTTAGAGATATTTGAAGTTCTGAGGAGATTCAGAGGTACAGTAAGATACGGAATGGAGTGAATAGTCAAGAGATGCTAAAATATACAAGGTGATTATTTAGGATTGACTCAGAAAGATCAACAATAGCCTTTGTAGGTATACGGCCATTTGTCAGAAAAAGGAGAGGAGGGGGTTCCAGGAGGATGGAACATTAAATAATCTAAATACAGATGTAGCAAAAGATATGCAAAGCATTGAGAAATTGGTTGAAAAGGGAGGATATACCAGGCAGATTTTAAAAATATTACTGTGAGAAACCTGTACCCAAAAACCATTTCAAAAGACACCTAGCTTGTTTTTAAATAAACTAAGGAAATAGCACTAGAAAGAGCAGCACAAAAAAAATTTTGCTGTTTTACTGTTGAATTCTCACACAGAAGGCAATGCTTTATTCTGGATCATTCCAATTTACAGCAAATAATCCTAAGGCCTACCCCAAATTATCCTCGGTCATGAAAAGGAACATGAAAATAGTATCCTTTGATCTGCATTAGGGTTAAACTTCAGTGTGCAGAAGTATATAGGCAGCGTGATTAAAAACAGATGATCAGGTCCCAGTTACCTCATTCAGTCTGATTACTAAGCGTGTTGAATCTGTATTTTTTATAAGTACACCTGACGACTAATTTACAGATAGTCCACAGACAGGTTTTGAAAAACAGTGACCAACAGCAAGGTTCTCAGCAAGTCACAGTACAGCCAGGAAGTAAGAACAAGTTCCATCACTTAAGATAACAATACATATCCAGGTAACTTGGAGCCAAATGTACTTCCATGTGAGACACAGGCAAACACGATACCCCTAAGGCTGTAACAACAAAATCCATTTACCCCAACCCCTGGTTCTTGTACCATACCAGTTATGATCATTTTCTAATTTATAACCATATAGGCAGAACAGCCAAATTTCGCTAGAATTCTGAGCTCAAAAAAATTCCTGATCACTGTCCTGAGAAAACTCCAATTTTTGATAGATGAAAGAATTACTTGCAGAAACTATTATAATCAAGAAATATTGCAGGTAAATGAAAAATTAAAAGATCAGTTTGCTGGCAGAGTCGAATCAAGGACAATATAATGGATCTTTTAGTCTAAGGATTAAACATTATTATCTAGATTCAACCACCATTAGAATGAATTTAAATATAAATTTGAGCGCAAAGGGGTGTAGGGCAGGAGAAAACGTAAGGTGCTAAGCTTGTCTTCAAAGTGGCTGCCATCAATCCCCCTTCAATCCTCACTCCACCATTCCACACAAGCCATTTTCTCCTTGTGAGGTGAAGTCTATTTCTCCACTTTCTTGATGCAGAGCTGACATGAGACTTCTCTGACCAAGAGAAGACAGCAACATTAACGCTGCATAATTTCCTAGGCTAGATCATAAGACATCTTTCAGCTTTGGCCTTTGGCTAAGTCTCTGGAAACATTTATTTGTTCTGGGGGAAGTTAGTTAACTGGTAACCCTGAAGCCACTATTAAAAAAGAAAGCCCAACAACCTCCAGACCATGTGAAGCCAGATGACCAACCTGCCCCATCTATTCCAACCATCAAAAACCAAGCACCAGATATAACGAGAAATCTTCAGGTCCCAGACTCTAACTGACTGAAACCTTATGAGTGACCCAAAGGAAAAACTGCCCAACTGAACTAAGTCAATACATAAATTGCTGTTTTAAAACACTATGCTCTGGGTAGATTTCTACAAAGCAACAGATAACCAGAATAGATGTCCAAGCCTTCATTCATCCTGTCTCATTTCCCAACTTTCATTACATAAATTAACCTACTATATTAACTGCTCCCAACACTCTACTCAATGCTATTACTGAAGCTAGTCTAATGCTAATGCTGCCACTGGGGAAATCCCATTCACACATACAGAGAACACTGTTCACGCCAATCTCAATTCTATCTTTTTTGACTAGGTCCATCTCAGGTGTCATTTCCCTTCCTCACCAAAGGAATATGGAGGTAACCCAGGGAATGTTCCATTTTTCACTCCTTAAAGTCTCTGCCATTCACTTAGTATTTCTATGTTACCTTGTGTTAATTTTTAATGGACATCCTTACTTGAGTGTAAACTCCTTAAGAGACACCATTTCTTGTACTTGTTGTATCCCAGTGGCATTTATGTCAACAGGATTTTTTACATGTTACATATCTATCTAGAAATAGGCTTAAATAGAAGTTTATTTACAAACACTGAATATGGCCAGGCATAGTGGCTCACGCCTGTAATCCCAGCACTTTGGGAAGCTGAAGAGAGCAGATCACCTGAGGTCAGGAGTTAAGAGACCAGCATGGCCAACATGGCCAAACCCCATCTGTACTAAAAATACGAAAACTAGCCCATGGTGGCACACACCTGTAGTCCCAGCTACTCAGGTAGGCTGAGACAGGAGAACTGTTTGAACCTGGGAGGCGGAGGTTGCAGTGAGCTGAGATTGCACCACTGCACTCCACCCTGGGCAACTGAGCAAGACTCCGTCTCAAAAAATAATAATAATAAAATTAAAAAAAAAAAAAAAAAAGAAACACTGAATAAAGCTTGTCTATACTCCCCCTGAGTAATTCTTAGATATCCACATGGTCTATATTTTCAAGTCTATATTCAAAGTTATTGAGCCTTTCCTTGGGCTCCCTGTTTAAAACTGTACCCCTTCCTACACCACTGACTTTCAACATTCCTATCTTCCCTTCCCTGCTTTATTGTTCCTTACTGCACTTGTATTACCACACATTTACCTACTTATATTATTTGTCAGACTCTCACTGAAATCTAAGTTCTGTGAGTACACCGCTGCATTCCCATGTCTGGAAGAGTACCTGGTACTTAACAGACCCCAAACGTCACCTGTAAATGAATGCATGAATGAATCAAACCAAGGATGGACTAATTAAAGGTCTCTTAATTCAGGAATGATATTATCCCCTATTCCTTTAAACAAACAAACAAAAAAACTGCTTTTACAGTTAAAACACAAAAATCCTGTAAGCCCCTTCACTGAAAATGCTCCTTAAGCTGCCTTTCAGTTTTCAGTCAAAACTTGGTTTAGCTTACTTCTTCCTTTTCATTACCAATCATTTTTCTTTCAACAAATATGACAGGATACTTCCAAATCACATCAGCAATTTAAACACAGGAACTGCCAGAACAAGGAAATGTGGCAACATTATAGTCTGTAGTAGCAGGCATGGTCCCCAAGTCAAACAATTTAGCTATATATTTTCCTTCCCTATTAGAAGATAAAGGTACTTGCTTTACAAGAATTACTTGGCTATACATCAATCCACCACATTGCTTAATGTCTTTGATGTCCACTTTTGCTTCACTTATTCTTTTGCCAGACAATACTGGCTGCGTTGGTTTAGGCATGGATTGTGTCACCTCCCAACAGTCTCATGATTTCTATTGGTCTGCTGAGTTCTTTAGCAATTTCCATAAAATGTCAGTCCCAGAATATAGCAAACTTTGCCCTGTAGGGCAAATCATCATTTGGTAATGACAGGCTACTGAGTCATCATATTCCTTGAGGGCTGCAGGAAAGGTGATAGGGCAATCCGAACTCACCCTGTAAGAGTTACTGTCTGACCTACATCTTCCCTTTCTGACAAAAACCTGGACTTAAATTTACCTATCTGACAAAGATTTATGCGTCTTTAGAGCACACAAGTAATTTACTGAACAGAAAATAAAACTTTCCTTATCTTTCCTTCATACCAATACTCCTAAATCATTCTTATCACATCTTTATCTTTAAAGAAATTCCAATGCTTTCAAGATTTGACTGAAACCCAAAACGGACATTTAGCGTCTTCCTCAACTTTTATCTCCTACCAATTCTTCAAGGTCCTGCTTAAATCCCACCTCCACTGCATGAACTTCTCAAGTGCCTCCATTCACAATTTCTCTCTTCTCTTCTCACAGTAGTAATTTTACCCTCAACACTTTGACATGGTTATTAACCATGTCAAATATACGAGTATGTGCCTACCTCCTGACAAGCCCGAGAGTCCATGGAATTAAATGCAAGATTCCAAGGAATATGCCTAGCACAATGCTTTAGGTTTGTAGCTACCCAATAAGTATTGAATTTCTGTACCTACAAAAACTCCCTATGGTGAAATTCATTCTCTCAATCAAAACGTATGAAAGGACAATTATATCAAGTACTGTGTTGGGCACTGATGATCAAGGATCACAAACTATCCCAGACTTCCAAGACAGAAAGGAACCATTTTTCTTTTCTGCCTATCCAGTCTCTCACATACTTTTCATAAACCCAATTCAAATACCCACTAATCCCAACCGCTCCCATTTGGAGTACCTATCACACAGCCCCTGCCTAAGTCCTCCGGAGCCTGACAGCGGCTTAAAAACAGCGCCTGGAACCTCTCTTAAAGAAACACTGTGGTGTAACCAAAGGCAAAGACTGTGAAAAAGCACAGACTGGCCAAAATTCCAATATCCCCATTACAATCTTTGCGGCCCCAATACGATCTTTGTGGCCTTTGGCAAATCAATTAACGTTTTTAAACCTTGGCTCCCTCTTGGGAAACAGGGGTATACAAATACCATCTATATTACTGCGGTATTATAACAAATAAGGGATATTTGTAAAATGTTAAAAAGCGACTGAGTCAAATCCAGGGATTTAGTAGGTGTTCAATAAAGCTGATCTCCCTTCCTCGAAAGCGCTAGCGCTGTGATTTGCACAGAGGGTCCGCGGCAACTCGCCGAGCCGTGTGCGGAGCCACCTGGGCACCACCCGCCAGACGAGTGGTTCCGGCGGTCCGAGACGCCTCGGCCACCCCCCACCACCGCACCGGGCCTCACCTTGGTGGTCGTAGACGCTAATGTAGGAGATGCCCACGGCCATACACCACACCACGAGGCTTGCGATATCCGAGAAGCTGGGCTCCTGCTCCACCTCGGTGAACACCAGGCCCATGTGCACAGGCAGCTTCTCCAGGGAACGGCCGTCCGCCCGCCAGCGCAGTCGGTGTTGGGCGGCGGCCAGGCACGACCCCCCGCGCGGGTGCCTGTGGTAACGGCGGTTCCTGCCGATAGCCAGGGGCTTGCGGAGCGTGAAGCCGAGCGGCGCTAGGACCGCGGCAGAGGCTGCGCGGCAGCAGCGCCGCCAGATCCAGTTCCAGGTGCCGAACCGAACGCGGAGCCAGGAGGTGAGCGTGCGGTGCAGACAGAGCAGCGCGTGCAGCACCCGCCACACCAACTCGTACAGCCCCGTCATACTCTTGTGGCGCTCGGGCACCTTCTCTCCCTCCCGCCCACTCCCGCGGCGTGACGGCTTTTTATCCGCCCCTGCGGCCGGAGCGGGCCATCGCCCCGCGACCCCCGCCCCCCACGCCCGAACCCCTTTCCACTGCCAACACCTCACCTCGCCCCCGCCGCCATCTTCCTCCTCCCTTGACAGCCCCGCCCCCGGTAGTACATGGACAGTTCTCATTGGCCAGTGTGGAACTCTGACGCGTCTTCTGGGTCCGAGGATATGGCCCAGCCCGGCACAGCGAGGGAGGACCCACGCCTGCGAACTAGGCGGGCCGAGACCGCGGGCGCCCCCTGGTCGTGTGGAGGGCGATGAGCGGATGACACTGGACTTTCTGAGCAGGACGCCAGCAAGGCACACGTGGTCATCCAAAGGATGGGCGCTTCCAGGGACCCGGCATCCCTTGAGTCCAGGGCGTCTTATACTGTTTGTCTCCTCTCACGGCCCCAATAGAAATGGTTTCATAGGAGTAAAAGTGTCCTAAGTGGATTGGAAATTACAAATGCTGGAAAGAACCTGGGGATGGAAAGCAGCCCTCAGTAAGCGTTGATGCTGGAAATCCACCAGGGCTCCCAAAAGTGTCCTCAAAGGCTGAAGTAGTCCTGCTACCGTCCTTTATTCAACCTCCCAGCTAAGGCTGTGAGCGAGGCTCTTCAGCCATGTTCCTGAAACACCCTCTACCAACGTCATTCCCCTCTAAGGTATCCTTTCCTGGCTGTCCATTGCTTAGTACGTAAAAGAGAGGCTCTACCGCTTGGCAGTCCCGTCACTTCATTGTTTTTTTGTTTCGTTTTGTTTTTCATTTATTCGGCAAGACTTTATTGACCAACTACTGTGAGTTAGGTTTAGAGGGGAGAAATATAGACATTGTGACTTCAGTCACTGCCACTATTTGATGTAAACTGCCCATCCAAGCCGTATCATCCCATTTACACACCCTAACTTCCCTGTCCATCTGGAATTCAAAGTGGTCCTCTAGAATGGTTCTGTACCTCCCTGTGGCAAGTCTGTACTGTCTTTGCACTTTTTGTTGAAGCTCTTCTCCTGAATTTCTGATTCCCACCTGGGATTCCCCACATTCCAACCCATTTCTCAAGGCTCATTCTACATGCCACATCCTCTATCATCATATATATGTGTGTGTGCAATAATAGTTATATTGTTTGTATTTATATAAGTATACATGTAAAAATTAGGTAGGCATTACAAAAATGCAGCTGTTTACACATGCACATACACACACATATACACACATATTTACACGTGTGTGTGTAAACAGTTGCATTTTTGTAATGCCTACCTAATATTTGTTCTGTAAAGTCCCCTTTTCCCACTGGAAAACATCTGTTCACATCTTGGCTATATGACTTAATTTTTTTAACGATATCCCTTTTTCAACTAGTCTCATTTTGTTTTCTAAGACTCATTTAACTTTAAAAGTTGAAGCTCATGTCCATCTCCCTTTGGCAGAGCAGCCTGAAGAATTGAGGGCTGGGCACCAGGCACACCCTTCACACACTTCTGTCTTTCCTGGTCTCTGCGGCGACTCCTCTGATGATGGACAAGAAGGAAAGGTGAAAGACCATGATCAGGAAAACCTACAGTCTTCTTCCTAACTGCCCATTGCTGCAGATGATGCAGCTACACGATGCTTGCTAAGGAAGCTCCCTAGACACCAGAGTCCCACTAAGATTTGGCCATGTATTCTGAAGACCCCCACCCCACTGCCCACACTGACACCTTGCCACATTTCTCTAATGTACTCACTTTTTTTGCCCCAATGTCTGTCAGTTTGTCAGTTCTGACAAGATTAAAGACATCAATCTTATGTCCCCGTGGCCTGCTCTCAGGTGTGCAGGCACAGGCAGGCTCTATCTTCTGTACTTTTTTTTTTTTTTTTTTATTTTTAACAGCTTGTGGAAATTATTTTTTTTTTTTTTTTTTTTTTTTTTTTTTGGGAGACAGAGTTTTGCTCTTGTTGCCTTGGCTGGCAGGCAGTGGTGCAACCTCAGTTAACTGCAACCTCCGCCTCCCAGGTTCAAGCGATTCTTCTGCCTCAGCCTCCCAAGTAGCTGAGATGGCAGGCGCCTGCCACCACGCCCAGCTAATTTTTTGTATTTTTAGTAGAGATAGGGTTTCACCATGTTGTTCAGCCTAGTCTTGAACTTCTGACCGCAGGTGATCTGCCTGCCTCAGCCTCACAAAGTGCTGGGATTACAGGCGTGAGCCACCACGCCCAGCCTCTGTATTTCTTTGAATTACAAACTTAATCAAAGGATTCTGGCCACATGTCCATCTGACACACCAACATGCAGATCCTGGCATCTCTCCCCAGCCATTTGTGTGTTTTCCTCCTAGAGTTTCCTCCTAGTAGCAGGTCTTCTAGCTCCCAGGATGTTCAGCCTCCTAAAGAGTGATGGAGTGCTGGTACCCACTTTTCTTGTTTCTCAGCTGTCATTAGGCAAGGGATGGAGGTGTCTCATATAGAAAAGTTCTCTGGGTGGCCTTGAACCAACACAGCTCTTCCCCTTTTCTCACTTGTAGTTCTCAAGAATAGCTATAGAATATGTTGGAATGCTATATATTATAGATAAGGAGGAATTGACCAGAACATCCCAGGCTCTGTTCCAGTCTCTTCTAAAAATACAATGTCCTTCAACTAGTACTAGCCCAGCACATCCCATTGCCCTATGATAAAAACTCAGAGCAAACTGCTTTCTGGGGTCCCTCAGTGGCGGTGCAAGTGGTGCATGAGCAGATGAGACACCATCCTCCCTAAGCAGTTTTCCTTGGCCTTGGGGGATGGGCTCATTATGACTCATGCTTGTGTTGTCCCTTGGTGACTGTCTGTAAGTAATAAACCTACTTCATGTAACTTGTGTGTGTGAGTGTTCCGCCTCACTGGACACTGGGTATAGGAAAAGTACAGTCCAATATGCAGTGGGCTGAACCGGTAACCAGGACACAGTGAGCCTGCGTTGCATCTGGTGGCTGCTGTCAACCTCAGGCTGCTTCACTGTACTTAGAAGGAGGTATATTCAGTGTGTTTTGTTCTCAGCCACAATTCTGGAATAACAGGAAAGCCACACTGATGTCTTGCTCTGGACATACTTGGAATCTGAAGTTTATGGAGTCCTCTCTCTTC